ATCATCCAGAAACCCTGATCTCCAGCAGGAGGAGGAGCAGGAGGAGGAGCAGGAGGCTGATAAGCAGAGCAGCAATACTGATCAAGAGGGAGATCAACGCCTCACTGACAGACACGGCTCACACTTTCAAATGCAGATGAGCTCAACACACACACACACACACACACACACACACACACACACACACACACACACACACACACACACACACACACACACACACACACACACACACAACTATGAGGACAACAGAAGCACACGTTCAGTGGTGGTCAGCGTCTGCAGTGGATGGTGGGTGGTGCTGGTCGAGAGCTTGATCAGTGATGAGGGACTGGGTCCACTTTAGATGTCCAGAACAGCAGCGCTCTCCGTGTGGATATGCAGCGGTTGTGAAACACTTGATGACTCTGAGATTCAGAATATAATGTTGCTCTGTGTTCATGAATAAACAGATCTGCTTTAAGTGGAGCTGATCCAGGATCAGCTGACCCGCACAGCTCCGCCCACTCTCACCCATAAACACTGAAGCTCCGCCCCCTCCTTGATCATAATCACATCAGAGCTGAAGGCGCAGGGCAGATGAGCAGAGACACCGAGGAGGAGGAGGAGGAGAAGAAGATGGAGTTCATTAAAGAAGAGCCCAGAGATGCAGACAGAGTGACGGAGGAGCCGCGCACAGGTCAGAGATCAGTTATTATATATACTATAGTCATAATTACACATGATCCAACAGCAGCACAGCACAGGTCTGCATCCACACAGAGCACAGCACCAACATCAGCTGCAGTCAGGGCCCGATTCAACCATAAACCAGGGAAATCTGGGGGCCTCCAGTAAACATCTAGAAGTGTAAATTACACCTATAAACTACATATAACATCGCTTTCCTCCATATAGGCGAGAGTTAAACAAATACAATTTTAACATAATTAAATATTATTTAATATAGAATTAAATACAATATTATTATAATAATGGTAATGTATTCTAATAATTTAATGTTATGTAATAACATATATACATAATATTAATAATAATCCAGAATAAAATATCCATCATGGAGCAGTCAAGTTAACAAATATTTAGATTTGTTTCTGCATTTAATATGTAAAAACTGCATTAATTTAAGTTGTCAAAAAGAAGATTGAGTGATATAAAAACCAGCATAAATATTATATTAATAAATAATAAATAGGTGGCGCAGTGGGTAGCACAACTGCCTCACAGCAAGAAGGTCTCTGGTTTGAGTCTCGGCTGGGTCAGTTGGTGCTTCTGTATGGAGTGCACACACACACACACACACACACACACACACACTCGTTGCAGTTGATTCTTTCTGGTGTAGGGGTGTGTGTTCTCCATCAGAGCAGATGATTGACTGTTTCTCTAATGTGGTTCTTCTCTGGGGTTGCCTCTACTGCAGCTCAGAGAGTGCTGGAGTGTATTCTAGTGTGTGTATCTCTCCGAGGAGCGTCTGAAACAGGTCAGATCGACACGCGTAATGCAGACACGGCCTTTATTTTGATATTAAGCAGGAAAACACATTTCTAGTTCCAGCATTATCGCTCAGACTACAGTATCGTCTGAATGCACACACACACACACACACACACACACACACACACACACACACACACACACACACACACACACATTACATGCTGTTATCTCTACCAGTGAACAATGAACATTAATTCGCTCCTCCTCCTCCTCCTCCTCCTCCTTCTCTTCCAGGTTAATTATTTTTATTAAACACCAGATTAATTCATCTCTTTTCAGACCTGATGGCAATGAAACAGGAGGAGGAAGAACTGGTAGAAGAGGAAGAGGAAAGTGGAGAAAGTGAAGAACCGAGTGAGGAGGAAAGTGAGGAATGGAGTGAGGAGGAAAGTGAGGAGGAAAGTGAGGAGGAGCTGAATGAAGCCTCTTCTAAAAGGTCTGGACAGAACGTGTCTGAGAGACGAGCGGGCTCCAGAAAGCGCTGCTGCTGCCGTCAGTGTGGGAAGAGCTTCACCTGTAGAGGCAGCCTGAAGGACCACATGCGGATCCACACTGGAGAAAGACCCTTCAGCTGCAGCGAGTGCGGACGCAGGTTCAAGCAGCGAGCGACGCTGACGGACCACCGGAGGATCCACAGCGGAGAGAAGCCCTTCAGATGCAGCCAGTGTGGGCAGAGCTTCCGGCAGAGAGGAGCCCTGAGCGGACACATGAGGATCCACACTGGAGAAACACCCTACAGCTGCCAGGAGTGCGGGAAGAGCTTCAGCCTCAGACAGCACTACACCACACACCTGAGGACGCACTCCAAACACAAGCCCTTCCTCTGCTCGGTGTGCGGGAAAGCGTTCAGTACGGAGGGTCACCTGAAGATCCACGAGCCCGTCCACAGTGAAGTGAAGCCGTACCACTGCAGTCCCTGCGGGAGGAGCTTCAGTCAGCTCTCCTGCCTCCGGAGACATCTCAAGTCCTTCATCCACAATAAATACAGGCCTCTGGAGAAGCTGACGCAGCAGATTCGCTCCGCAGGGTTAGGGTTTCAGCAGTTCATGATCCAAAGGGGATTCAGAGAGATCCCCCCAGGAGTGAACGAGTCCCGACAAACCCCACTGCAGCAATCACTCCCTCACACACACCTCCAGCCCTGAACTCCTGACTGCTGAATTACAACCGGTGACCACTGAGCGATGCTGCTCCATACAGTACTGAACTGAAATCTGAACTGAATTGAACTGAACTGTGTTGAACTGAGTTGAACTGAATTGAACTGAACTGAATTGAACTGAACTGAATTGAACTGTATTACACTGAACTGAAATTAAATGAGTTGAGTTGAACTGAATTGTCGGTATGAGTGTTTTGACGGCTTGTCCCAGTAGTGTCAGTTTGCTTCTGTCCTCTACCGGCTCTATTAGTGTTTATATTTGGGTATTTGACTTGAGGGTTTTCTGGGTTCTCTACAGGTTATCTATCTGAAGTGGTTGATGTGTTCATTTTGTTCCGTTATACTTGACTACTGTAAATATTACCGCTCTCGATGAGTTCTGCTGGAGTTCTGTTATCAGTTCATGAATCAAATTCAGTTTCACCCAGCAGACTGTGCACACACACACACACACACACACACACACACACACACACACACACGATCCAGAGCAGGAGTACACCCAGCAGCTTCTGCTTCACAAACACTGTTGTCTAGTAGATATCAGAGACGTTCCTCACCTCATCATCCTCACCTGTCCTCATGAGATGTATATGTAGCGCAGGCCAGCTAGTGGAGTGCCGTGCAGGTGAGTGACAGGCGCTAGAGGCCGTGGTTTCAACCTCCTTGGTAGAGCGAGCGACTCCCATGCGGACAGCTGCCGGTTCACTCGCAGCTCAGAGTGGGTTGGGTGGTGTAGGACCGGCGGGATTAACGGCCCTCCAGGACCCTGTGTGGACACCCCTGCTCTACAGTGTGGGCAGCGAGGTGAGGCAGCCGGAGCTGTGCCCCGGTCAGACTGTGCACTCCTCTGCGCACTGGGCTGAGCGCGCTCAGTGTGTGCTGCCAGTGGGATGCTTTATTAAAAAGGTTTTATACATTGTAGGCATGTTTATTGTATGTCCTCACTGTCTTTATAATGGGCAATGCATTTCCTGCAGGTCTATCGCTGATTTACTGTTAGGATCTGACAGAAGCTGAAGCAGGCAGTAGCTCTGCCGCACTGAAGGGGGCGCACGCGAGCTCACGGCTGTTATTGGTCAGTGGCTGCTCTTCTTCTGTGTAGTGAAGTTCATCAGGAGTCTGCTATTGTATGTTTTGCTCTGACTGACTGCAGAGGTGGCGGATATACTAGCTCAGCTCAGACATTAATCAGAAGAGGACATGACGTGAATAAATGATGGACGACCGATGGCGGAGCTGAAGAGCTGCTTTAGAGGACGGACAGGAGACACTCCATCATTCTGGAGGAACTCATCATTTCAACACTTCACTGACAAGTAAAGGTAAGAGCAGTGTGTGAAGCCTCTTGTGTGTGTGTGTGTGTGTGTGTGTGTGTGTGTGTGTGTGTGTGTGTGTGTGTGTGTCGCCTGTTATCTGCTGTCTGTAGTGTCCAGCTTGGTGTTGTAGTGTGCTCCTGCTGTGTGTGTTTGAAGCAGGGGTCTACAATCTCGCTCCTGGGGAGCCGGTGTCCTGCTGAGTTTTGCTCCAACACCAGGAAGCTTCTAGTATACCTGGTAAGAGCTTGATTCGCTGGTTTAGGTGTGTTTGATTAGGGTTGGAGCTAAACTGTGCAGGACACCGGCCCTCCAGGACTGAGTTTAGACACTCCTGGTATAAAGGATGCTGATATGAGATGTGAAACATGATCAGTAGATGGTAAATATATGGGGTGTGTATCTATATATATATATAACTGTACATGTGACTGACAGAGGCACAGACCTCACCGCTGCACAGCACTGACTGCTGCACAAACACACGTCACCGGCGTCCGTCACGCACAGCTTCTCTGCTTTAGACATGAAGAATACTGGACTCTTCTGTTCTGATCAACTGAGAGAAATGGAGAAACACAGAGCAGATGTCCAACACTGAACGCCTTCATACACGCGTCTGTGCTCAGCTCTGAGCTGCATTTCAAATAATAACAAGCGTTTCAGGAGTTCACACCCAGATATTGTTTGACAAATGTTTTCAGGTTTGAATTGCTGTCCCGGGAGAGAACCCTGAGCTCGGAGAGGATTGAGCCGAGGGCTCCGGCCGGGTGGATTGAGCATGTAAGGGGAGTACAAGTTTGGGTAGTTCTCGAGAGCTCCCTGTGGTAAAGGAGGAAAGGGGGAGATGGGGTAGGGTTTATTTTCAGAAAACAAAGATAAAGGAGGAGTCTTAGCTGGGCTACTTACAGTGAGTTTGGATTAATCTGATTGGCTAACTCATGATTATAGATGAGAGACCAGCTGCGGTCAATCAAAACACATGCTTCTCTCCAAATGAGTTTGTAAAACCTTACTTTAAAAGCATCCGCTGTGTAAAACATATACTGGAATAATTGGCGGTTCATTCCGCTGTGTAAAACATAAACTGGAATAGTTGGCGGTTCATTCCGCTGTGTAAAACATAAACTGGAATAGTTGGCGGTTCATTCTGCTGTGTAAAACATATACTTGAATAGTTGGTGGTTCATTCCGCTGTGGCACCCTCTTTTGAATGAAAGGACTAAGCTGAAAGAAAATGAATGAATGAATGAGTGAAAGCATTACTGTTGATACACACTTGTTTATTTTCAGTAAGAACAGTTTCTCTTCAGTGTGTGTGTGTGTGTGTGTGTGTGTGTGTGTGTGTGTGTGTTACACCAGTTTTCAATACACAAATATACAGATACTGTACATGCTGGTGTGCAGGAGGTCTGATTTATCAGTGATGGATCTGTCCGCCTCAGCTCCTCTCCAGCTCTCCTCCTCCTCCTCCTCCTCTTCAGCTCTTCTGTGAGCCGATCATCACTTTAGAGACGAAGTTGACGATGGCGGCGGCCGGCTGCTCGGGGTCCTGCTCCGCAAACAGGTGACACACATTATCCAGACCCACACCTGCCTTACGGGCCACAAACCCAAAGATCCTGCAGAGACACAGAGAGAGAGAGAGAGAGAGTGTGTGTGTGTGTGTGTGTGTGTATG